TCTTTCCCTGCTCTAAGTCTTCACATCAATGAGGCACAGAGCAGCAAAAGCAGCTCAGGTGCCATCAGAATTTCAAAAAAAATCAAAAATGGCTCAGAGCCATTTAAAACCATTTTCTGCTCTTCATGAACCACCATGAAGGGCATCAAAATCTGTGGAAGTTTGTGGTGGCTCTTCAGTTCATGAACATTGCTTCACGAACCGCAAACCAGCCAAAACCCATGATAAACTTTAGTGTGTGAGCCGATTTGTGCCCATCCCGAGTCAAAGGGTCAAGTACAGATATATGTCTGTAAATGAAGCTACTTACCTACTATCTGTATCCAGACCTACAAAATCCTTCTTTTCAAAGGGAACACAGAGAAGTGGTATCTTATCTCCAGATTTATCAGTGGCTCTGTCCAAGCGCTTGGATTCTAATACAATGAAGAGAGACTCAATGAAGTCCTCGATTCTCTTCTCCACACTTTCACACTCATCGTAACTCGGATAAAAGGCCACATCTGTACGAGACTGTTCTGCAACGTCTCCTTGAAGTCCAAAGACGAACAGTCGAGAATCGTAAAGCGTTGAGCCATATATTTCCTTCTGAATGTGAAATTTTTCAAAGGTCTGAGGCCAATCCTTAGCAGAGGAACAGTCTGTGATCGTTATGAGCCCCACAACTTTGCGATGTGTTTGGAAATCCCCCCATTCGTTGTTCTCCGGTGGATAATGATGCCTGTAGCGAATGTACAACACACGCTGAGAGTCACGGATGTTTATCTGACTCACTGTGGAGATCCGCTTGTAGATCTTGAAAAAGCTCTCTTCGGGAACAATCCCAACGGGCTGGACCACAACGAGCAGAGTCTGATGATCCTCCGCACATTGCATGTAGTCAGGGACACTCATCTTGCATCAGGTGTAGTCTAACAAACGATTCAACACATATGGGGAGTTAGTACTATATTTCAAGGGTACACAAAGCATTACAGGAGGGGCTGCAGCTCAATTTAATCCATGGTATCTCCAGTTAAAAAAAGACCAGGCAGCAGGTGACCTCTGCCAGAGACCCTGGAAAGCGGCTGCCAGTCTGAATAGACAATACTGACCTTTTTGGTCTGATTCAGTACAAGACATCTTTATGTGTGCTCATCATAAACATAATATAGTTGGGACTTGGAATGTCCTGAAAAACCTCTGCCTGAGACCCTGGAGAGCTGCTCCCAGCCTGAGTAGGCAACTCTAACCTTGATGGTCTGATTCAGTATAAGGCAGCTTCATGTGTGTTCATTATAAACACAGTTGGGGCCCACAATGTCCCAAAAAGACAGCAAATTCATTCATACCGTCAGTTTTCTCGATCTTTTACAAGTTGGCTTTTTTCACTTAAGACCTGACATATTCAGTAGCCTACATGTGACTTCACACACCAATGGTGCCCTTGTTTCTTTCCACTGATATGCTTGTCCGTTCACACAGAACCACCAATGGTGCCCTTGTTTCTTTCCACTGTGTTGTGTATGCTGACCGACAATACACTGATATGCTTGTCCGTTCACACAGAAAATGTGAAGAAGTGAAAAGGAGAAAAACAAAGTATCAAACACAGTTGTCCCCCTCCTGCCTTTAAAAGGGGAGAATCTTGACAGCAATCGGTTTGGCTACAGCTGTGTAAGATTGGGCTGCCTCTCATAAAATTAACTGCCACAGAGAGAAAGCCCCACACGAATAGGGAAGTATGGAAGAGCAGCCAGCCATAACATATCAAAGGCTACAGACTCGGGCAGTTTGCCATAGAAAACCTGAGGGGGGGCGGAAATTGCACAAAAAGCAACACAGATTTTACATATCGATTAATACTATCAGAATGCTGTGTGTGCTAAGTGCCATCCAGTCACTTCCAACTTATGGCAACCCTACAAGGATATACGGCTTCAAGAGCGAATTGGATAAACATATGGAGCAGAGGTCCATCAGGGGCTATTAGCCACAAGGTATAGCCACAAGGTGGCTCAAGTGGTTAAGATGCTGAACTGCAGACCAGAAGGTCGGTAGTTCAGCAGTTTGAGACCCGAGTGCCGCATGACGGAGTGAGCTCCCGTCTCTGGCCCCAGCTCCTGCCAACCTAGCAGTTCAAAAGCATGAAACTGCAAGTAGATAAATAGGTACCGCTTCAGTGGGAAGGTAACAGCGTTCCGTGCACTTCAGCATTTAGTCATGCCAGCCATATGACAACGGAAATGTCTTTGGACAGTGCTGGCTCTTCGGCTTGGAAATGGAGATGAGCACCGCATCCGTAGAGTTGGATTTGACTGGCTTTCGAGCGAGGGAAAGCTTTACCTTTACTATAGATAGGAACTCTCGGTCTGGGGCAAGTGATGCTCTGTATTCTTGGTGCTTGGGAGGGGCAACAGTGGGAGGGCTTCTAGTGTCCTGGCCCCATTGGTGGACCTCCTGATGGCACCTGGTATTTTTGGCTACTGTGTGACAGAGTGTTGGACTTGGTGAGCCATTGCCCTGATCCAACATTGGCTTATGTTCTTAATAACTTTGATAGTCAGTGGTCAGACCCCTCCTCTCGCTGAGGGGCAGTTTATAGCTACCATAACCATAAACACCATTCCTAAAACATTATTTCAAAAATCATAAGTGCAAGACACTGCCTGGCCCAAAATGACACAAAATGTATGCCAGTCAGAAACATGCCTGGACATATAGTTTAGAAGTAAGAGCAGCAGGCTAGCCAATGACCTCCTCCACGCCCCGGAGAGATGCATAATTTAGGACAATGAGTCTCCTAAGAACCGATCCACTCACCTTGGACTAATCTTATCAACACTCAGCCCCACCTCCTTGCGCCTTTTTACCTTAATTAAGCAACACTTATTCTATTCACCAACCGTAGTAGCTTTTCTCATCCGGTACTTGCAGGGTCTTCAAGCCCCGTTCACAGCTATAGTTCATCTCAGGAAAACCCATCAAGCCTCTCCAATCTTTTTACCCAACTCAGGAAAAAATTCATTAAGTTATTGTTTTGCTGGTAAACATGTCATACTAGCCAGAGGGCACATTTTGCCCTATATCAGAAGGCAGTCTGCTCCCCAGGAGTGTGTGTAAGAGAGAGAGACTTGGATCCTCTCCCACATTCCCAATTTCATATTCTTCTCTCCATGAAACACTGGCCATTTTGCTGCTCAGCTTGCTGCTTCTGTGGACCTCTTCTTTGAGACAGGTAATTATAGCCTTCCCTGAAATTGCTGTTCCCCTTTCCTTCCTGATTTCCTTTTAGCTAGCTGTTGTATGTGTGTTTATTGAGTGTATTTTGTTTTATTCTCTTTTTAATAAAAACCTTTTTTGGTTGAACATCTGTCTTGTTTATTGCGAGAGTTCTCTTAAGGGAAAAATTCCCATAAATGTTGGTGGAGAATCCCAATTACCCCCTCACGCTCGGTCTGCTTAAGCTAATTCCCCCAACTAATAAGGAGACCGCCTCTGAGTAACATGCTCAGGTCTTGTAAACTGAGAACCATGGCTTTCTTGATTCAGTCAATCTATCTCATGTTGGGTATTTAGTGGTACATGGATAGAGAACTGCCAGAAGTACAAGACGGGTTTCGAAGAGGTAGAGGAACTAGAGATCAACATTGATTATGAAGAAAACAAGGGAGTACCAGAAAAACATCTACTTCTGCTTCATTGACTATGCTAAAGCCTTTGTGTGGATTACAACAAACTATGGCCTTAAAGAGATGGGAGTACCAGACCACTTTACATGTCTCCTGAGAAACCTGTATAAGGGTCAAGAAGCGACAGTTAGAACCTGATATGGAACAACTGATTGGTTTAGCATAGGAAAAGGAGTAGAGCAAGGATGTATATTGTCACCCTGCTTATTTAAGTCCATGATAAAGGACAAAAACAGTAGGGACCTAACAGAAGCAGAAGAGATTAGGAAAAGATGGCAAGAATACACAGAAGAACTATACAAGAAAGACCTCGATGTCCTTGACAACCACGACGGTATAATCACTGACCTCGAGCCAGACATCCTGGAATGTGAAGTTAAATGGGCCTTAGAAAGCATTACTAACAACAAAGCTAGTGGAGGTGATGGTATCCCAGCTGAGCTATTCAAAGTCTTAAAAGATGATGCTGTTAAAGTGCTGCACGCAATTTGCCAGCAAATTTGGAAAACGCAACAGTGGCCACAGGATTGGAAAAGATCAGTATACATTCCAATCCCAAAGAAGGGCAATGCCAAGGAATGCTCAAACTATCGCACAATTGCACTCATATCACACGCTAGCAAGGTCATGCTCAAGATCCTACAAGCTAGGCTTCAACAGTACGTGGATAGAGAACTACCAGAAGTACAAGCTGGGTTTCGAAGAGGTAGAGGAACGAGAGATCATATTGCCAACATTCGCTGGATTATGGAGAAAGCAAGAGAGTACCAGAAAAACATCTACTTCTGCTTCATTGACTATGCTAAAGCCTTTGACTGTGTGGATCACAACAAACTATGGCAGGTCCTTAAAGAGATGGGAGTACCAGACCACCTCACATGTCTCTTGAGAAACCTGTATAAGGGCCAAGAAGCGACAGTTAGAACCGGATACGGAACAACTGATTGGTTCAGCATAGGAAAAGGAGTACGACAAGGATGTATACTGTCACCTTGCTTATTTAATATATATGCAGAGTACATCATGCGAAATGCTGGCCTGGATGAATCACAAGCGGGAATTAAGATTGCTGGGGAAAAGATCAACAACCTCAGATATGCAGATGATACCACTCTAATGGCTGAAAGTGAAAAGGATCTAAAGAGCCTCTTGCTCAGAGTAAAAGAGGAGAGCGCAAAAGTGGGCTTGAAGCTCAACATCAAAAAAACTAAGATCATGGCATCCGGCCCCATCACTCCTTGGCAAATAGAAGGGGAAGCTGTGGAAGTAGTGACAGACTTCACGTTCCTGGGATCCCAGATCACCGCAGACTGTGACTGCAGCCATGAAATTAAAAGACGCCTGCTCCTTGGGAGGAAAGCGATGGCGAACCTAAACAGCATGATAAAAAGTAGAGACATCACCCTGCCAACAAAAGTCCGCATGGTCAAAGCAATGGTATTCCCAGTAGTCATGTATGGCTGCGAGAGTTGGACTATAAGGAAGGCCGAGCGCCGAAGAATAGATTCTTTTGAACTATGGTGCTGGAGAAGACTCTTGAGAGTCCCTTGGACTGCAAGAAGAACAAATCAGTCAATCCTCAAAGAAATCAACCCTGACTGTTCCCTGGAAGGCCAGATAATGAAACTGAAGCTCAAATACTTTGGCCACCAAATGAGAAGGGAGCACTCACTGGAGAAGACCCTGATGCTGGGAAAGATTGAAGGTCAAAGAAGACGGGGTACTTCACAGTAAACAGGCATCAGACCAGACTGCAAGGAAAAGCAATCTAGACTTAAATGGCTTACACAGCACAGCCACATAAGTAGAAAGAGAATTAAATGCCTAGGAGAAATGGACACACAAGCCGAAGGGCAGAGCACAACTGACAGCGAGGCTGAGTTCTAGAAACTGGAAAACCAAAGAAGAGACAAGGGCATCTCTGAGCATAAGCAGTGTACATTTTCTCAAATTCCACTAATTAAAGGTGCCCACAAACAAAGGGAGATCACAAGGCTCTTGTGCTAGCTTGTGCAGAACAGAATTGCTGTTGTCCACTGTCTGTAGTCACCATTGGATGAAGAACCACAGCAGCAGTACCACCCTCCTCCCACATTTATACTTGGGATGAAAAACTGAACTTCCCAGTTTATTCTGGCCTCCATCTTTCTCCTCCTTGGAGACAGGGACCCATTTGATACTGTTCCCGAGAGTGCCAAGCACATGGACAGCATGATATAAACTAATGCATGGGGATTCTACTGTGCTTTCAAGAGTTCTAAGTGCCTCGCGTATGTTGCCACTCTCACAACACCCCTGTAATGGAGGCCAGTATTATCATTCCACCATACTGCAAATGAGAAACAGCGCAGTGAAGGTTTACCCAGTCAGACTAGGGCCAGAGATGCCTAGTTTCAAATCTCCTCACAACCAAAGAGTTCACTAGGTGGACCTCAGGCCAGTAACTTTGCTCAGTCCAACCTACTTCACAAAGTTGTTGCGAGAATAAAATGCAGGGAAGTAATGCATGCTGCCTAAACTCCTTGAAGGAAAGAACAAGAGTCCAGTAGGACCTTAAAGACTAACTAAATTTGTGGCAGCTTTTGTGAGTCACTGCTCACTTCTTCAGATATCTAATATTCAGGTATCATGAAAGCTTATACTCTGCCACAAATTGTGTTAGTCTGTAAGGTGCTACTGGACTCTTGCTTTTTTCTACTGCTACAAACACTTCTTCAGATATCTAATATTCAGGTATTCAGGTGTCATGAAAGCTTATACTCTGCCACAAATTGTGTTAGTCTGTAAGGTGCTACTGGACTCTTGCTTTTTTCTACTGCTACAAACAGAATAACAATGCTACCCATCTTGATCTATCTCCTTGCAGGAAGAGCAGGATGCTAGACAGATTAGATAGACAGATCACATGAAGAGATGCGCACACAAAATTGCCCCATACCAAGTCAGACCCGCCATCTATCAGGATCAGCCTTCTCTACTCTGACTGGCAGCAGCTCTCCAGAGTCTTAGGCAGAGAGGTCTTTCACATCACCTGCCACCTAATCCTTTTAACAGGAGATACCCGGGTACTTTTGATACTGTCCATGGGGTTTTCTTGGCAAAAATACTGGAGTGGGTTGCCATTTCCTTCTCCAGGGGATCACGCTTGGTCTGAGTTCTCTGCTGTGGCCTGTCCGTCTTGGGTGGCCCTCCACGGCATAGCCCACAGCCTCATCGAACCACGCAAGCCCCCTCGCCACGACAAGGCAGTGATCCATGAGGGAGAATAGATTCTTTTGAACTATGGTGCTGGAGAAGACTCTTGAGAGTCCCTTGGACTGCAAGAAGATCAAATCAGTCAATCCTAAGAGAAATCAACCCTGACTGTTCCCTGGAAGGCCAGATAATGAAACTGAAGCTCAAATACTTTGGCCACCAAATGAGAAGGGAGCACTCACTGGAGAAGACCCTGATGCTGGGAAAGACTGAAGGTCAAAGAAGACGGGGACAACAAAGGATGAGATGGTTAGACAGTGTCACAGATGCAACGAACATGAAATTGAGCAAACTTCAGAGGACAGCGGAAGACCGGAAGGCCTGGCGTGATCTGGTCCATGGGGTTGCGGAGAGTCGGACTCGACTGTGCGGCTGAACAACAAAACCTGAGTACTGAACCTGGGACCTTCTGCACGCCAAGCAGATGCTCTACCATTGAGCCAAAGCCATGGGTCTCGTAGCACCTTAAAAGACAAACAAATACTTGATTCCAATATAAACAGGAACATGCTGGAATAAAATCTCATTTGTCTTTAAGGTGCCACATGACTCCTGTTTATTTACTTTTTTTTTCTTTTTGTTTCAACAGACTAGCAAGAGTAATCCTTAGGCTTGCCTTAGGCTACTTAGAAAAATAATAATAGCTAGATTCAAGTCCAGTAGCAGCCAACGTATGGGGACCCTGTAGGGTTTTCAAGGCAAGAGGCTAGCAGAGGTGGTTTGCCACTGCCTGCCTCTGCAGAGCAACCCTGGACTTCCTTGGAGGTCTCCCATCCAAAGACTAACCAGAACGGACCCTGCTCAGCTTCTGAGACCTGACAAGATCAGGCTAGCCTGGGATCAGGGTGATAATTAAGTGCCATCAAGTCACAGCTGATTTAGGGCAATCCTGGCAATCCTGCAGGGGTTTTTCAAGGCAAGAGGCCTTCAGAGGTGCCTTGTCCTTGCCTGCCTCTGCGGAGCAACAAACTCAGCTTAGCTTCCGAGACCCACATTAGACTAGCCGGGGCCATCCAGGTCAGGGTAATAATCAAGTGCCATCAAGTCACAGCCGATGTATGGCAATCCTGCAGGGATTTTTTGAAGCAAGAGGCCTTCAGAGGTGGCCTTGCCCTTGCCTGCCTCTGCGTAGCGACCCTGGACTTCCTTGGGGGTCTCCCATCCAAGTCCTAACCAGCGTTCCCTCTAAGCCGAGTCAGTGTGAGCCAGCTCACAGTTTTCCAGCCTCCGGCTCACCCATTTTTGTCTAAGCTCAGGAAGGGACGGCTCCAGAGGAAACTGATTTATGCAGCAGCCAAATCGCTGGCTCACAGCTTTGATGCCGGCAGCTCACAAAGTAGAATTCTCGCTCACAGGACTCCGTGGCTTAGAGGGGGGGCATTTGGTTCGAATCCTCCCAACCAGTGTTCCCTGTAAGCTGAGTCAGAGTGAGCTAGCTCACAGTTTTTTTAGCCTCCAGCTCACACATTTTTGCCTCAGCTCAGGAAGGGCTCAGGAAGGAGGGCTCCAGAGCAAACTAATTTATGCAGTAGCCCAATGGCTCGCTCACAACTTTAATGCCAGCAGCTCACAAAGAAGAATTTTTGCTCACAAGACTTCACAGCTTAGAGGGAACATTGGGCCTCCCAACTCTGCTGAGGGGGGTCAACCCCGCTCAGCTTCTGAGCTCTCATGAGATGAGGCTAGCTGGGCCACCCACACCAGGGCCAGAGGACCAACCACCCTAGGGTTGCCAGCAATGTTCCCTCTAAGCTGTGGAGTCTTGTGAGCAAGAATTCTACCTTTTGAGCTACTGGCATTAAAGTTGTGAGCCAGCGATCTGGCTGCTGCATACATTAGTTTGCTCTGGAGCCCTCCTTCCTGGGCGGAGACAAAAATGTGTGAGCCGGAGGGTAAAAAATTGTGAGCTAGCTCACACTAACTCAGCTTAGAGGGAACACTGGTTGCCAGCCTCCAGGTGGGGCCTGGGGATCTCCCGCTTTTACCACGGATCCCCAGCCGACAGAGATCAGCTCCCCTGGAGAAAATGGCTGCTTTGAAGGGTGGACTCTATGGCATTGTGCCATGCTGAGGCCCCTCCCCTCCCCAAACCCCGCCCTCTCCTGGCTCCACCCCCAAAGTCGCCAGGTATTAAGCTTTACGTATTCCAGCCAGGCAACAACTTTCCGAACTCAATGCTTTGTGTGTTCTTCTGAATGGGTCTGGGGAAGGGGCGTCTCTAAGGACGGGGGGCGGAGGCAGCGCTCCCCTTTTGGCGCCTGAGGTAGCCCCCCCCCCCCCCCATCCACCCAACGGTCAGGGGCTCGGGCTCACCCACGCAGCCGGGGCAAACGTAATAGCTCCGCCTCTTCTCAGCCTCTTCCGCAAGACGCCTGCCGGGAAGAGAGGCAGTTAGAGAATGCGCATGCGTGAATGTTTGGGGAGCGGAACCATAGAGCAGGCGGAACGGTCAACGGGGGGAGGGGGGCCTGGCAGAGAGTGAGGTGCGCATGCGCCGCGCCAACGGCCGCCGGCCGCTGTGTTGGTTTCCCTTCATCGTTCCCGAGGAAGGCCGGGTTCTAAAGGGTCACGTGACACGGCCGTTGGGTTTTTGTTTTTTTGACAGGTGTAACGGAGCTTAGTTTCGCGCCGCTTCACACTGAGCTCGCGTGTTTGGAAATCCGGCTTTAGAAAGCATTTCTTCGAGTAAGTTTTATTAACTTCGCCCCCCCCCCCGTTCGCTAAGTAGCTCGTATGTACTTTTTTTTTCTCTCTTCCCGAAATGCTTCATGGGATAGTAACGAGATGAACGGCCCTGCGAAGAGGGGATGGCGCGTGATGCATGATGGGAGGAGGAGTACTTTACCGCGTATGGGAGCTGTGCCGGAATAGAGGCGAGAACTACAAATCCCAGCAGGGCAGGCCACGCTTCCCGCGAACGCTTCTGTTTTGGAGAGAGCGGATGGTGAATCCTGGAAAATGGCGTCGGGCCTGAGCGGGAGCGGCGGCGGCGGATGCGGCGGCGATAGCCGGCTGGTGTCGCTGCCTTTGTCTCGGATCCGAGTGATCATGAAGAGCTCGCCGGAGGTGTCCAGCATCAACCCGGACGCCATTTTCCTCACCGCCAGAGCCACGGTAGGCTTTAACCGCCTCCTCTTTCTCTTCCCCGGGGGCGGAGGTTTTATTTACGCCCCGCAGCCTGCACGAGCAACGGACAGCGCCCGAGTAGCTTGTTGTATTTCAGTGACATCTTACCTTTCCCTCCCCCTTCAGTGGCTTATATCGTTCTCTTCCCAACTTTATCCTCACAACAACCCTGTGAGGTGGGTTAGGATCAATGTTCCCTCTAAGCTGAGTTAGTGTTTGCTAACTTGCAGTTTTTTTGCCTTTGGCTCACACATTTTTGTCTTCGCTCAGGAAGGATGGCTCCCGAGCAAATTAATTTATGCAGTAGCCAAATGGCTCGCTCACAGCTTTACTGCCAGTAGCTCACAAAGTAGAATTTTTGCTCACAAGACTCCACAGCTTAGTGGGAGCATTGGTTAGGATGAGTGTGCACGACTGAGCTCTCACCCAGCAACCTTCCATGGCACAGTGGGGATGTGAAGCTGGGTTGGCACATTAGGAACACATGCAGTAGCCTTAAACTGAATCAGACCCTTTGGGTCCATCGCCGCCATATTGTCTACTCAGACTGGCAGCGGCTCTCGAGTGTCTCAGGCCATCATCTACTGCCTGGAGATGCCGGAGATTGAACCTCCAATGTTTCCTCTAAGCTGTGGGGTCTTGTGAGCAAAAATTCTACTTCATGAGCTACTGGCATTGCAGTTGTGAGCGAGCAATTTGGCTACTGCATAAATCCGTTTGCTCTGGAGCCATCCTTCCTAAGCTAAGACAAAAATCTGTGAATTGGAGGCTAAAAAAACTGTGAGCTGGCTCACACTAACTCAGCTCAGAGGGAACACCGCCTGGGACTCTTTGCATGCAAAGCAGAGGCTCTTCCACTGAGCTTAGTTCCTTGTCTGACACTCGGACCACTACTGAGAGTCAGTTTGGTGTAGTGGTTAAGTGCGCGGACTCTAATCTGGGAGAACCAGGTTTGATTCCCCACTCCTCCACTTGCACCTGCTGGTGTGACCTTGGGCAAGCCATAGTCCTCTCAGAGGTGTCCTTGAAAGAGCAGTCTTTGAAAGAGCTCTCTCAGCCCCACCTACCTCACAGGGTGTCCGCTGTGGGAGGGGAAGGGAAAGGTGTCTGTAAGCCACTCTGAGTAAAGGGCGGGGTATAAATTCAATCTATTCTTCTACTACTACACCCTGCCTCCCAAATATATTGCTTAGCGATTTTTTAATAGGAATTAGTAGGATTGGCAGTAGTATCTTTCTCCAGGTGCTACTGCCACCAGGTACAAAGGCTAAAGCTGCCTCATCTCCACTACTGGTCTACCTCTCTCCCCTGACCGCAAACAAGGCAAACTTTGAGCCCAGTGGCACCTTTAAGACCAACAAAGTTTAATTCTGGGTATAAGCGTTCGTGTACATGTGCACTTCTTAAGGTACCCAGAATTAAACTTTGCTGGTCTTAAAGGTGCCACTGGGCTCAAACTCTGTTCTGTTGCTTCAGACCAGCACCACTATCCACCTGAATCTGCAAACAAGGATTTTATCTGCTGTTGCATTCAGGCTGATATGAAAAGCAACCCTGTTTGTATAGAAAGAGAGACCCCCTCAATCCACTGAGCCAGCAAAGTGCTTGGGGTAGGGGCAGACGTGAAGTACAGGAAATACAGCCAAGGATGACATTGTGTGGTGTGAACATGGACTAAATGTTCCGGTTGGACAGTGTGCCTGTCACACATGGTCTGCTGAGCTACATTTCCCCCTCCTCCTTTGGCTGCCCCTTTTTTGCAGCTCTGTAGAAACAGAATGGTAGTGCTGGAAACTGCAGAGTGCAGATCTAGACATTGTGGTGCTGCCAGAAAAATGGCCAGAAATGGCTTCAGGGTGTCCTCAGCTTGGGTTTGGTAGTTACTAGTCACTATCTATAGGCACATCCACGGTTTCAGATGTGGGGGGTCTGGGTGTTATTAGTGGACGGCTGTGGAGTCCGTTAATATCAGGAGTTATGGGCTTATTGGGGCTGTTCTTCCCTTTAGGAGTTGTTTGTCCAGTACTTAGCTACACATTCCTACAAACATGGCCAAGGCAAGGAGAACAAAGCCTTAACCTACAGTGATCTGGCCCGCACCGCGGAGAAGTCGGAAACATTTCAGTTCCTTGCAGGTAGGTCTTCACCTAACTTGTAACTAGTGGGAAACTGCATGGGGAATGGATGCTTTTTAATATTCCATCGAAGTAGTTAAAATCAGCCAAGTCTTTGTTTATACTGCCACTGCTTTGGGTCCAACTGGGAAAATGGTAGAACAGAGTTTGTGTCCAGTGGGACCTTTAAGACCAACAAAGTTTTATTCAAGGCTATAAGCTTTTGTGTACACTGAAATGGAAATTACCAGTCCATACATATAGGTAGAGGATTTCACTCTGGCAGAAAACATAGTGAAGGAAATAAATATATCAAAAGCAGACATCGATGGACAGATATACCCATCTTAACTATGGAATGTTGGGAGTAATTAACAGAGACCCTATTACGCTCCATCTGTCTCTTCTCAAATGTCTCCAATTTTGATATTTATTTATTTATACTTTCGGCTTGTATCCCGCTCGAACCCCGAGGGGTCTCAGAGCGGCTTACACAATTATTTGTTCCCTAACTAAAGCCACAATCATGGGGGGGGGGTTGACTTCCTACCAGCACCTGGCAGCTGGGCCTATTCATTGCTGATGTCTGGCTTATATATTTCTTTCTCTATGTTTTCCCCTGGATTTAAACCCAAACAAATGGTGACCATATAAATTAAGCTTGGTATTTCAGTTTGATCCTTGCATCTGTTAAACACCTTTATTATGCTGTATGCTAATTTGTTGCATGCTGATTTGTTTCTCACCCGCTACCTATATGTATGAGCTGGTAACTTCCATTTCAATGTATCTGAAGAAGTGTGCCTGCACACGAAAGCTTATACTTCGAATAAAGCTTTGATGGTCTTAAAGGTACCACTGGACGGTTTCACCTTGTGTAGTGCCTAGGAGGGTACTTGCCCCAAGTTTTCATCTGATATCTAATTATAGAGTCTTCTCTGTTAGTGATGGGGCTTGGGATTTGAATCCGCATCAGACTCAGTGGATAGCTTGAGGCTGTTCTCAGGCTTACCAAGTACTTACCGTCAATGCTCCCTCTAAGCTGTCAAGTCTTGTGAGCAAAAATTCTGCTTTGTGAGCTACTGGCATTAAAGTTGTGAGTGAGCAATTTGGCCGCTACATAAATGAGTTTGCTCTGGAGCCATCTTTCCTGAGCTAAGACAAAAATGTGTGAGCCGGAGGCTAAAAAACTGTGAGCTAGCTCACACTAACTCAGCTTAGAGGGAACACTGCTTACTGTGATTCGGTGGGGGACACATACGTCTTCCCAGGAGCATTCCCCCACCGACAACAGACGCGCCGCACCATGCCGTCGCCAGGAAGTGATGCCGGGCGACACTCTGGCAGTGGGGCTGGAAATGCGATCGTACCATAGAGTTTTCAGCCCCATTGTCAGAGCGTTGCCCAGCGTCACTTCCTGGTGACGGCATGCTGCATTACAGGGAGGAATGTTCCGGCCGGGGAGCATGTGTCCCCCGCCGAATCGCGGTAAGTACTTGAGAACCCTAGCTGTTCTTGTGTAACAGGATTGTGGTGAGAATAGCAGTACAACCCTATATAAGCTGTTTGAACCATTCTTAGATTGGAAGTAACGAGGACAATAATTTTCTCTTCCTTAGATTCAGAAGCCCCTACGGAAGCTCTGTGAGATGGTTCTGTAGGATTGTCTTAAGGTTGTCCTAGCTGAGACTGAGTTTTCTCCAATATGTAAGGCATGGCAGTCTAGTGCCTGTCTCAAACTATCTGGTTGACAGCATTAATATGTGGGTTCGACAAGAGTGAACATGCTATTCTGAAAGATAAATCTGGTATCTGTATTGACTTTACACGAAAGAGTGCTAAAGTCTTCAGTGGCAGAATGAAAGGAGAAGCAAGCATGTGGGTAGGAACAGGCAATGAAAATCCTGGATGATGGATAGAAAGCTGTTTATTTTATTATTTATAATTTTAATTTATAAACCACCCTTTTCTGAGTTCACAGAGCTCCGGGCGGTTAACATTAAAAAAAATCTATACAGTTTAAATCCAAATAATTAAAATAGCTAAAAACATTTTCAGATGGCGCTAAAGCCAGTTTACAAATTGTGTTACTGTCTCGCAAATAGATGGAAAATAACACAGGGAGGGGAGGGGAATGGAGTGCCAGATAGGATGCCAGGGCTATTTTTGGGCAGGAACACACAGGAACGGAGTTCCGGCCGGCTCCCAAGTTGGCCACGCCCAGCAGGAACTCATTAGCATAATAGGCCACACCCAACAGCAGAAATCCATTAGGGTTAGGATTGCCTAACATGCAAAGGAGTCCCTGCTACAAAAAAAGGCCCTGGGTTTTGACAACAAACAAGGTAAACAGAATAACAAGCAAAAGGTGGGTGTGGCTGGGTAACCACACTTCTGGTAACATGGGGGTGCGTCCTAATGTGCTAATGAGCTGAGCTGGCAGGGGTGTGGCCTAATAGGCTAATGTGTTTCTGGTGTTGGGTGTGGCCTATTATGCTAATGAGTTCCTGCTGGGCTTTTTCGACAAAAAGAGCCCTGGATGGTACCCATTGCTGTCCTCAACCAAAAGCCTGGTGGAACATCTCTGCCGTGCAAGCCCTGTGGAACGGCACCAGGTCCTGCAGGGCGCAGATGTTATTTGGCAGAGAGTTCCACCAGGTGGGAGTTGGACGTCCTTTGGACATCTTTTGGGCTAGTGATAACCACAGGTGTTTCCAAATTATTCTGGTGTCTGATCCTTTAGACATTAACGTGTGTCGCTTTTCCCAGAATTTTTTTTAGTAACCGTGTTTATGGTTTGGAGGGGGAGGGCTTTATCTTTGGGAACAAAGGTAAAAACTTTCTGTCTAAAAGTGCTAATCTGTTATATACTTGGTTTTGTAGTTTTATTCATGGTGGCATTTGATTAGTTCTTCTGCCTACCAGCAGTTTTAAATTACTGATTTTAAGTAGTGTTGTTTATGTGTTTTATGATTATTTACATTGTAAGCTGCCTTGAGTTCCTATAAGGTGAAAAGGTAGCCAATATGTTTTAAAGAGTTGTTTGAAGAGCCTTGTAGAATAGCCATAGCACTGGTTACTTTGTAGCACCTGAAAGCATCCTTAATCTTACTCTTGCTATAACTCGATGAAAATGCCACTCTTCCAGATATCTTGCCAAAGAAAATACTGGCAAGCAAATATCTGAAAATGCTTGAAAGAGAGAAGGAGGGAGAGGAAGAGGAAGAAGAAGAAGAGGAGGAGGAAGACGAGGAGGAAGAAAGTGAAAGTGAAGAAGCGTCTTGCGAGTGACAAAACTGAATCCACTGCAGTTAACTTCGGAGACTCATGCTCAGTTTCTCCAGCAATCAAATATCTGGCAAGTGGATTCTCAAAGCATATGAGGACTGACAGGTTATGCAACAAGTATTACAGTATATGCAAGAAATTAAGATGGAACTGACTTAGCGGATATTGGCTCTCCAATATAGAAGTTCATCTCTGCTCATATTGGGCAACTCCCAAAGGCTGAGTCGTTGAAGAGTATTTTTGTTTATTTAACATGCCAGACTTATGGCTGTCCTGTCCTTTCCTACGAGTTAGGGAAGCAAGAACTTTTTTTGTGAATTCCCTAGAAGGGAAATAGTTCTATGTAGTGGCTGTACAGATTAGGGATGGGCATGAACTGGTTCATGAGCCAAAATTTGGCACGAACTTGGCCCAGTTTGGAGCCCCTGAACCAATGTTCGGTGAAGGAGCCTTCCCCAGACATTTACCAGACTTTTATCTGGTTTCTATCAGCCGTTCAGGCCATTTCAACCTAACGGCTGAGGAGCATGGGTCTGCAGTTGACCTGTTAGTTTTAAGTGGCTTCAGAGCGGGGGGGAAAGCAAAAGGCAATTTTTTGCCAAGAGAAAGGGGGATCCAAACTGGCCAGTTCAGTTCGGGGATTGCCCATCTTAGGTTTGTGCCCATCTCTTGTGAGTTCTGTCACAATCATCATGACTTTAAAACAGGGAACTGGTTTTCCATTGCCACTTTCTGATTGTAAAGATAAGAGTGGTGCTTAAAGGGTGGGGGGCAAGCCGCACCCCACTGTCTCATGTAAATATGTGTATTTTCAAAGGTCATTAACTATAGATTTAAAGCAAATCCTGGACTAGAACATTTTTGCTATGGGAAATGGATGCTTGTCCAGGAAGATTCATTTCCGTTTGCAACAGTTAGTATACTTCTTTTTTAGTGGTAACATTTGTACATCCTTGAACACTTCCTTTGTAAGACAAGTTTTATAAAACAAATGTGATGAATTTTACAGTCTCTGTGTACTTAAAAAAAAAATTCTAACAAGGCGTTCCCTCAAGTTCGGCATAACAGTAGTAGCTTCCCCCCCCCCCCCCCGTAACATTCAGGGGGGGGGCAGGCCTGGCGTAAAGTGCCGTCTGTTCTGATGGTCAGTCAAAGAATTCTCAGGGGGAATCAGAGTTGACTGCAGGTGAGCTGTGCACGTTGCCTTGTATCCTGCCAACGTGAAGCTTTCCTACAATGCAAGAGGTTCTTTGCACTGGTTGAAAGCTACAGTCTCAGCTGAGCAAACTGCCAGGATACCGGCCTAAGATTCCACTCTGTCTAGTTCTAGTATATATTTTTTTCCAATCCTTCTTGTGGACTGAACACTTAATCATCTACAAGCTTTGCACCCATCAGAAATTATTCCTTTCTTGCATCCAAACTCCCATCAGTTTGCAATCTGGGCCTCTGCTGGTAAGGAGGCATCCAGGATTACACCCAAGCTCTTGACAGTCAGTGCCAGTGTTAAGGGCACACCATCAAGAGCCAGGAGTTGGCACTCCAGCCCCGAGTCTCCTCCCCCCCAGCCACAGAATCTCCGTCTTTGCTGGACTCAGTCTCGGCCTACTCTGTTTCAACCATCCCACCACAGCCTCCAGTCCCTCAGTCAAAGCAGTTGGGGCGGCATCCTATTGGCCACACATCAACAGATAACACCATTTCTGTCACTACCTTGGGGAACAGAAGTTGGGTGGGAAAAGGTGCCTGCAGATATTCAATAAAAATAGCCACTAGTGTTGTCAGCTTCAAGATCCAGCAGCTTGACGTTTTGGTCTGAAAAACAGACTGGCAGCATTCCAGCGACACATGCAAAATCAGCTGCCTGAAAATTAAGCAGCTACTTAATGCTCCTTGGCTTTCCACAATTCTTTCTCCATTATGCTTTTGGACATGTCCTGCAGATCCATTTAGCTTGCAGGGGTGCTTTCAAACAAGTCTGAATCCAACCCTTTGTGTGTGTGTGTGTGTAGTGCCCACAAGCAGCTTCTGAGTTACACAAACCTATGAATTAATGACCTCCAAGGCATTGGTATTTCTGGCCACTGTGTGATAC